CTTTTTGGATTTTCAAACTTATGTGTTCTTCTGAAATTCAGGAAATCCTGTTTTGTGCTCCTCCCTGTTCCCATTTCTATGGTCATAACATGGAAACTATGTGTTGGCAAATGTTTGGCAGGTGTTGTTTGTGGTTTGTTGATGTGATTTTCACCAGAGAATAATTACACCATGTTTGACGAAACACACAGTCAACAGAAAGATCTCTGACTTTCAGTCACTTGTGATTGAAATGGTTATATTTAGACATGTGCTTCATGCATCTGCTCTAATAACATATGAACAAAGTGCTTAGCAGTGCGCTGGATGCTAGAGGCGTTTTTAAACATAAAGTGATTCCAGGAAGAAATTCCATTCATCCTTTTTCTTCCACTTATCCATTTTTCGCTATATTGTAGATGGCAAATGCAATACATTTATGGAACGATTCAACTTCTAAAATACTCTCGGTCAATCATATCACATCTTTAAAAGTTACCTGCAGCTCTCTTTATGTTACTTTAGCAAATCAGAATCTATTTTAGGCCAGTGCTGGTCTAGTTGAAGAAGATGGTGTGAGTTTAAAACATAAGCTTGAATATCAATGTGTGTGAGTGCTGTCCATGGTGCTGATCAACAGCTGGAATATCACAAGCTGAATGGACTCAGGCCCAGACTCTTTAATAAGCCAGGGGGTTTCTTTACAAGTTTGTGGTGCAACATTAGTCCAACACAGTAGTGATAAACCCCATTTCCTGCTCCACGTTGCCATTAAGTAACTGCTGCTCCTTACCTGTCAGTCTTTTCAGCTCGATGATCCCCTTCATTACACCGGCAGTAGGTAAAATTTTACTTCTGTCCTGCCTGCCCTCCTGCACACCGCCTGCCTCCATATCACTAATCAAAGAGCAAAAAGGTCAGACATTTTTCCACACTTACCTTCGCCACTCACCTGGACACTTGGTTGGCTCCTCTCGAAGGGCTTGACTTCCTGCTTTTCAAGTAAGCATACATTTTGTCAACCTACAACTTTCTGCCAACATATTCTGCCCAGCAATAACCCTCCTCTCCCTCTGATTGCAATGGACCCCACGCATGACACTCTCACTGCTGTCACACATTGATGGTTAAGACGTGAAATAAAACTGAATTCTTATGAAGTCGCCCTTCTCTTTAGAATGCTTTTTGTTGGCTTTTGGTCCCACTACTCGTACCTGCCTTTTGGCTTTCTGACAGTTGGAGCCACAGAGAGCTAATTGTTGTTCTTTATGGAGAACCAGTGAGGCTGTTTGGACTTTCCTATGAAACATCAGTGCAGGAGTCTCTCAGTACATCTGTTTACAGTGAGGACAAAGAAGCAGCAGAAACACACACAGACTAAACATGTAGAGACAGGTGGAGCTCCTTCCTGGTTGATGGTAGATGGATTATTGAATTAAAAGTGACCTTTTAATGCTCAGTTCTGTTGTCACCACAGCAGAGCATCCACTCTCAAACAAAACCACGACGTGCTCTTGGCGTCATTTGGAAATATTTACTTATCACTCCTCTTATTTTTATATATTAAATGATTTAAAAAAATACCAATTTAATGTGTAAATAAATCAAATAAACTGAAAGGTAAGAATTGAAATGCATGAAATACTTTATTTTGATGTGCTTGACTTTGCTGGTCCTGGTCATTCTTAGCAGAGCAAGAACAGGAAATACAAAACATTTGTCTATTTTCTTCAGTGGAGAGTAATTTATTATTTGCAGAGCTAAAATTCAATGTATTCAGAAGTACACCATATAAGAAACAATTAGTCTTTGTATCGCAAGACAGAATCATGACCCAAAACTACAATGGAGCTCTGATAATCTACATATAGTTATAGACATGCTGTATAATTTGGTGGAAGCCCCTTACTGCCTTCATGACTTTGTTAGACGCCCCTGCTGCCACTCTGGGAACCTTTATTTTGATAAAAAGCAGTTAAACACAAATGACGTCAGGAGTCAATTGAAAGATATCACACTGTCAAAGTATTGTCATGTGAAAAGCAGCTGCTTTGCTTGGAGCTGGAATGTAAATGTGTCTTTCTCTCTATCAATAGCATCAATAATTGTGATATTTGGCTCGAGCTCTATTGTATTGCTCAGTGTTACCAGTAGATGGCAGCAGACTTTATATGTGACTCGTTTCCTTTTGAACCACACGAGGAAAATAAGCGAGAGCAAAGATTTCTTACTCACACGCAGAAATTAAGTAGTAGCTGAGGGAACAAGAACAAGGTGCTTGAGTCACACGTAAATATAAACAGTGAAGCTACTCTGGCCATGAAACACATTAACATATTTATATTGTTTTTCACTGCAGCAAAATACACATTTAAATTTTCAGTTAAAATATATCCTCATATGGTTTTTGAAGTTTTGAATCATTTTAGTTTATATCAGTGAAAAATTAACATGTGGATGTCCTCTGGTCTGAGGTGCTGGGGACCAGTTAGAGACCAGCAGCTGGACGTCTGTGGTTGGACTTCACTGAAGAGTAGATGGTCTCTGGCTCTGGTTTACAGTCTGAACACAAACAACAACAGGAAACATCATTACAAACTTCATAGCTCTTGGTGACTTTGTTGAAAGATTTAGTCACATTTCTAAATGACCTGTGATAAACTGGTGTAGCCGACCTCTCACCATGAACAGCTTCAGCTCACATGTGAAACAGTGAAGCAGTAACAGTGAGCAGTGGTGCAGCACCTGTGTGAAGCGAGGGGCTTCACAGCCGTGTCAGAGTGAGCAACAAACAGGCTCACAACATTTTGAGCCACTGTGAGGGTGAAAGTGGGCTCACGTGTGAGTTTATTTAGTGTGACCTTTGTGTGATATATTAAAAATAGTAGCTTTTAAGTCTTAAGTCACATAGATATTTGATTTAATTAACCTTGTAGCCTGTACACTGGTGTAAAATCAGTCTCTTTAGGACATGGCTGTCTGAGTTAATGAACAACTGGTGAAAATATAACTTTGATTTATGTGTTATTAATTAATACATTTAATGATTTTAAATGACTTTTTATTTGTTTGTATATATTACTTAACAGGCTGATTTTCTATACATTTTAATATGATTTAAATTTCAGAAAATGTTCAGTTATTGTGTCAAAGAGTTGTCTCGGTCAGCTCTTTAAACCTGTTTTAATTTAACTGCCAAGCAAGTGTGCCTAATATTAATGTTGGTGTTTGACCTCTGCAAACATTATAACTTTTTTTGGTATTTACTTTTCATAGAACCAAATACCTAGTTTGGTCAAAACTGGGGTACCAAGCTTTAGACACAGCATAGACCAGTTTGACTACAGCTAAAAAGACTGTGTGAAGATTGACCTATGTATGTAACTTTTGTAAATAGCTGCAGCTTTTCATGGTCTTTCTTTTTCCATTTCTCAATGCTTCTGCTGAGAAACAACGAATGACTAGCTGATGATGACCAACCAGAGAGCTGGCACCTTTTTCAGTGCAGGCTGAGACTTGACCACAGCGCAAGTTCTCAAAATATAAACAGTGTCGTTGCCCACACCAGCACAGAGAAGTGTCATCAGCTTCAAACTAAGCTACAGGAAGTAGCTGCTGTGGTGTTAGAACTCTTTTTATGCCGTTCATATTAGCAACACTTTCACCCTGATAACAAACTGTGTGCACTGAAGCCAGAGAGCAGTATAACTGAATTTAATTGAATTCAGATTTTTATATAGCGGCCACTCACAAAAACACGAATACACTGATGCAGACCTCTGGATGAGTCTATGTTATTTGTTAAGGTCCAGCGTGGCCCAAAGAAAATTGCAGATGTTTCATATTTGTACTCCCTCCAAGAAGAAGCGCAAACATTGGGATCTCATTAAAGTGGACAGTGGACTCTGATGATGCTTGCTTGGAGGAAAAGGGGAGGGGCAACGGTTATTGTGATGATGATAAATGGTAAATGATTCTTATATAGAGCTTTTCTACACCGAGCACTCAAAGCACTTTACACAACTTGCCTCATTCACCCATTCACACAAACACTTTTCCCCTATGATATTTCTATTTGTGTGCTTCTATCTAACATTCACGCACATTCATACTCCAGTGGATGCATCGGAGAGCAACTTAGGGTTATTATCTAGCCCAAGGTTATTTGGAGATCCAGTCCTTCCACCCAACCTTCTGATTAGTGGGCGTCCTGCTCTACCATCCCAGTCTTAAAGTGTGGTCAGTCTTATCAATGAGATCTCTGAAGTTGTTTGGTCATAATATTTGTGGAATCTGTTTTATATTAAATGATCATATTAAAACAATGAGTTTATGAAGGCAAGTCTTTAACCTATAATCATATTATTGAATCTATATTTGAGGAAAATGGTTTCACAGTTTTGAATATGCAAGTTGTTTATGCACACTTTGTTGTTCAGGGAAACTCAGTGATGAGGATCAACGGTCAAAAGACGTAAATCCCTGCCTGTGTATGTTATAGATTGAGTCTAATGTATATCAAGGTTTGTATGACTAACCTTCAGGTCTGCATTTTACACAGATGACCATCAAATCCTGATCAGAGGCTATGTGATTGGTTGTCATTTTAGCTACAGCTTTAGAATTTTTACTCTCTCTACTTGTATCGAACGTAACCATTAGCATATGACCTTAAATCAAGGTCAAGGTCAAGTTTATTTATATTGCACATTTCCAAAAGCTCGTGCTGCACAAAGTGCTTTGCAAACAAAAATGCAACTAAAAAAGTAAAATGTACAACAATGTTGCAATTAAATATAAAAAAGAAGACAATAAAACAATAAGACAATAGAAAGAACTAAAACAACAATGTGTGGGTTACCTTGTGCTGAAAGCCAGTCCATAAAAATGTGTCTTTAGTAAAGATTTTAAATGTTCCAACAAATGTGCAGATCTAATATTTAGAGGCAGACTATTACAGAGTGTGGTACCTGCCACACAGAAGGCTCTGTTGCTGTGTTTAAGTTTAGACCGTGGAATAGTTAACATAAGTTTGGAACTGGACCGCATGGTTCTCTCTGGAGCATAAATAAATAGGAGCTCAAATTGGGAAGAGGGGCCTCAGCCTTTTAGATCAAAATCAAGGTGAGCCTGCAACTGTATATAGATCACTTTCTCCAGAACTCTTGAAAGAGCGTTCCATCCAACCATTTGGATTTTTACACTTCTGATCATCCCTTACATGCTCCACAGTGTCCTCAAATAACTTTATTTTTAATAAACCATAAAATGTCTGTGCACAGAATCAAAAGCTCAAACTTTTCTGAAGTATGAGATAAAGCATTTCATTAAAAAAAACAACAACATCTGTACAACCATTAAAGGATCTTGTAACAAAAACACCCAGAATTACCTCGAGTTCGTTTGATTGATATTTGGATGTCGCCATACGTGATGTCATCTTCTACAGGTTCATCTTGATCTGGTGAAATGATCCAAATTCAACAGTAACATGTTTTACTTAAAAACTCTAAAGTTGTAGTTAGGATTTTAATTTAAAAAAAAAAAAAAAAGATATACAAAGAAATATTCGTAGATTTGTACTATGTTGAGTTACTTCCATGGGGATCAAACATCAATGCAAAACCATCAAATCTTTATGAATGTAAACACTATAACATGTAGATTAACACGAACTTCAAATCTAAAATCAAAAAGTCTGAGTCCGTCTCACCTTCAGGTTTCCTGTGAACACATCGTCTCACCAGCAGAACCAGTAACACCAGTAGAACCACAACACAGGAGGATCCAACACATGACAACAGAGAGAGAAGAGGAAGAGAGAGTGGTGCAGGAAGAGTGATGGAGGTGAAAGCTGGAGAAGAGGTGGATGTAGGTGGAGGTGTGGATGTAGGAGGAGGTGTAGATGTAGGTGGAGGTGTGGTGGTGTCTTCCCCCAAAATAAAGCAAACACAGTCATTAAGTTGTCGTCACATTGTGAATGTTGAAAGCTGCAGAAACACAGACAGGTGAGTGTGTCACCTGTGACAGTGATCCAGCTGGATGGAGACTCTCCATGACCGCTGATGTCACACTTGTAGAGGCCTTCATCAGACCTGGAAACATGCTGGATGGTCATGTGACCTGTTGACTCATTCCCAATGAAGATGCCATCTTTATAGAAAGCAGCTGTGAGGTTGGAGGTCTTTGTTTTACAGAGCAGAGTGACGTCATCTCCCTCCATCACAGGGAGGACAGGACTCTGCAGGATCACTGATCCACCTCAACACAGAGACAAACTACAGCATTTCATCCATTTACACACAGCTTCATCAACACTAACTCCACACACTCAGCTTACCAGTGACTGTCAGGTTAACCATGTTACTGATGGGACCCTCTCTGGACTCACACCAGTAAACTCCACTGTCTCGTTCAACGATGTAACTGATGTCACAGGATAAATTAGCGGATGTTCCCCACCCATCTCCACACTGACTGGTGTTTCGTTTGCTTGTGTTTCTCCTCAGAGTCCATCCAGCAGAGCTGTCGTCCTCCTCACAGCTCAGAGACACAAATACTCCTTTAAAGAACTGAGAGCTGCTGGGAGTCACAGTCAGACGAGCTGTGAGGGTTAAAATGAAAAATATTTGATTTGTTATATCAAATATTTTTGTTAAAACTTTTATAATTCTGTGATTAATGCTTAATTGAATCAGTTTCATATTTGAGATCAGGCTGCAGACATGGACATGTCAAAAAGAAAACAGTGAAAGTACACCCTGAGGGAAGACGATGAGAAAAAAGAACTCCACCCATACTGAGCTCCTAGAGGAAAACAAATTGAGAAAAAAAAAAGATCTCGGCACAGAAAGGCAAATGAATCTTCATATCCTAACACCATAGAATCACATGACAAACAGTAGGGGTGGGTAAATGGGATGAGAGTGATCCGGTGTAGACAGCACTGGTCACCAGGTCTGTAAATTTCCAGTTGAAGAGTCGTGTTATTCCTTGGTTTCATGTGTCATTGTGGTTCTCTTGGTTTTGGTTTCTGTAGTATTCCGAGCTTTTACTGAGTCAGAGTTCTTAGGCTTTGGCTCCGCGTTTGCCATGTGTGTATATTGTTGTTTGAGTTCTTGTGCCGTGTTTCCCCTCGTGTTATGTTTATCCATGTCTCCCCCCCAAAGCTCCTGTGTGCACTTCCTGTTTTACTGTGAAAGTATTAATAGTCAGTGTACTCAGTTTTGCATCCTCCCTTTCTCGTCATGTGTAATTATCCTCAGCCGTGTCTCCCAGCTGTTCCCTCTTTGCCCTGTTGACCTTCTGTATTTATTGTCTGTGCTTGCCTCTGTGCTTTGTCGCATCATTAACATTCATGCCCTCAGACTTGCCTGTGTGTTTTAGCTCTAGTTCAGTTTATAGCCTTCCTAGTTTTGTTCTGTTTTTGACTGATGCCTGCAATAAAGCAGTGAACCTTGAGTTTAAGTTCTGCCTCTAAGAGTCTGCATATTGGGGTTTTATCCTGCATGCCTGCACACAGTCACGACAGTCGTGAGCTTCTCCAAGATCTTTCCATTTTATTTTCAATAAGCACCGTCTATGTGCTCATGGCCCTTCCCATCGCTTCAATCATAGCAGCTAGCCTTGTGGAGTTTTGAACAGTCATAAGAGCTTTCTTTAATATTCAGTAAGCCAGGGCCGAGCCAGCTCCGATCAGCAAGAACCCTGTTATCACGGTTCAGAATAGGTATACATCTTCTATGTTCTAAATTGACAGTCCCACCAGGCACACGCCAGTGCTGCCACCCATCCATCGTGTATCCGGCAGAAAACATCCCACCAGAACAACTGGGCTCTCCCAAACTCAGGCTTGTCGTCCATAAAAAGGTGTTAATTGCGTTCAGAGACCAGTTGATATAATCCATATTTTTTAGAGTAGAGTAGAGTTAGAGTAGACAAGACAAGACAAGGACATGAGTAGCACAAACAGGGAAGATAAGATGAGCGGGAGGGAGAAAAGATGCGACTGAATCTGTCAAGAACCTAGAATTTTATGTGTGACATAAAGAAGGTTACTGACCTTGGTTTGTTGTGCAGCTCAGCAGTGAGATCAGAACTAAAGAGAAATGACACTCAGGTTGATTTGAGGTGAACATAATGTAGCCAATCTCTCACATATTTATACTGATGTAGATCGGGGCCCCTAGATTATTTTCTCTTAATACAGTATGT